GGCGGAGAAGGAGGCTGCAGAGAAGGAGGCTGAGGCGGAGGCTGCTGCGGCTGTAGAGAGGGAGATGGCGGAGAGAGCCACGGCTGAAGAGAAGGAGAAGGCGGAGAAGGAGGCTGCAGAGAAGGAGGCTGCGGAGAAGGAGGATGCGGAGAAGGAGGCTGAGGCGGAGGCTGCTGCGGCTGTAGAGAGGGAGAAGGCGGAGAGAGCCGCAGCTGAAGAGAAGGAGAAGGCAGAGAAGGAGGCTGCGGAGAAGGCTGATGCGGAGGCTGCAGCGGCTGTAGAGAGGGAGAAGGTTGAGGCTACGGAGAAGGCTGAGGTTGAGGCTGCGGCAGCTTCGGAGATGATGGAGGCTGCGAAGACCGTGGAGACTGTGGCGGCTGAGGCTAGTGCAGCTGCGGAGATAGTGTTAGCGGCTGTGGATAAGGCTATGGAAAAGGCTCTAGCTGGTAAGTGGAGATTTATCTTCCTTAATGAGCCAAACCATTGGAGATTTATTTTTGATATAATGAGTTTCATCGATTTTTGTTTATTTTTGTTAGGTGGAGACGATGCCGATACAGTCCAAACTCCTAGGAAGGTGAAAATCAAGAAACGACATAGTCTTCAAGCCCAAACAGCAAAGAAATTAATTAAGAGGAGTAAGACTCCCAAGCGAAAAAGGAAGGTTACTCGTTCACGTTTGGTGAAGGATTGTTATTAAGTAACTTAGGCCTTTGAACTTATGTTGTGTCATTATCTGCTATGTTAGAATTTGTCTTTGTGTTTTTCAGGATTTGGACATATATATTTTATGCAAGTCTTTTTTTATGTGTTGAATTAAAAGGTACGACTAGTAGAACTAGACCAACTAGATCTGAATTTTAAAAACGTGTGGCAGCAAAAAAAACGTGTGCATGCAAAAAAAACATGTTTAAAATGAAGTTAAAAATGGATAAAATATGAAGTCACGTGCGCCGTCAAAAGAGGAAATGAATATCTTTGCAAGTTTACGCCGTCAAAAAAAAAACTTGAACCCAGTTTTTTTATAACATAGTTGTACCCAGTTTTGAGTTGTATCCTAAAGACATAAAGTTGTAAAATTTTGTAATCAGTAATATCATACCTAAATTAAACATTTTTAGCTGTACTTGTAAAATTTAGTAAATAAACTAATATTCTAATGCTATAACTAGTATAAAAATACAAACTTTCATGGTTTTCATGTTTGTGTGGTTAAGATTTACAAAGTAACCTTAAAAGTATAAGGTAGATTGTGTAGAGAACACATTTTCATGGATCAAACATTTTCGTGGATCAAATTTATTTAACTATGAAATGTTCAAATATGTTTGCAAATGTTCTATGGCCTATTTTATATGGAAAAATGTTTACAAATACATTTACAAATTGTGTTATTGACATTTTTGTTGAAAGCATAGTCGTACCAGTCTTCCCAGTTGGACTTTAGTACAACTAAAATGTAGTTGAACTAGTTGTACTTGAAACGAGTGGTACTAGTCGCACCAGTCGTACCAGACATATTAGACGCGGAATATAGAGTTGTACTAGTGGTGCCTAGTCATACCTGATAGAAATAACATGGATACAAGTCTCGGTCATACAAAGTTGCACACATAGTTCAAATAATTTAAAACAAAGACATAAATTACTCTTCACTTCCATCAATCCCAAACCATTGAGCCCAGCGTCCACCTCTCCCTCTTCCTCTACCTCTTCTTCCTCTTCCTCTTCCACGATGTTCTCCAGCTGATGGGAATCTTTTCTGTTGCGGTTTTCCTTTTTTTACTTCATATTCCGGAGGTAAGACTTCTTGTGCTTGTATCTCTTCAGGTACAACCCATTCAGACATATGAGGAACTGGATAGATTATCCTGGAGTATGCCAATGCCCATAGCTCTACCAAATAATATTTGGAGCAAAACTCTTGTAGATGAAGTTCCCTATCTCTGCTCATATGGATGGCATTAGCAATTGCATGCACACATGGGTATCTATCTATATCAAAATACTTGCAAGAACAAGTTTTCCTAGTCATATGAACCAAATAATTCTTCCCATCAAGCCCAATCACATTGTATTCATGGAGATAGCTGTTTAACTCTTGCACCATGAGTTTCTTTGCATCCACACATCTCAGATCCATTTTGTTCTCCACGGAAGGCACAAGCTTCTGTGACAGTGGGACTTCAGCGGCACTCTGCCTATGGGTGTTCCACCATTCAGCCAATTTGGCAACAATTACATCAATCATTGGCAACAGCGAGTACTTTCTTGTGTTTACAAAAACACCATTGATAGATTTTACACTATTGGTGGTATCTATGTTGTACCTTTCTCCTGGAAAATAGCATTTTGCCCATTTTTTCTCATCAACACTTTTGTCTAGATACTCGGCAGCAGATGGATATTTCATCCTAAAAGCACTATAGAGTTTTCCGAACTCAACCTCTGTATAAGCTTTAGCGCACTCGATGAACTTCTTCGCACATGCATCTCTGTGGGTGGCAACATGTCCTTTCACATTCTGTGACAAATGCCTTACACAATACCCGTGTTGAGACAGAGGGAACACTTCCCTTATTGACTTGATCAAGCTTGGATTCCTATCCGAAATAAACACCATTCCAAGGACATCTGGTGTTACTGACTTCAACTGATTCAGAAACCACGTCCAACTTGCATCTTTCTCACCATCAACTACACCAAAAGCAATGGGATAATGATGATAATCAGGATCCTGAGCTGAAGCGACGATTAGAACTCCACTATATACGTTCTTCAGGTGGGTTCCATCTATAATGATGACTTTCCTCATCGATAGAAACCCTTCTATGCAAGCTCCCAATGCAAAGAATAGGTATTTAAACCTTTTCTGCTCATCTAATTCCACACAAGTCCGTGTACCCGAATTCACTTTCTCTAGCATGTACAAATAAGAATATAGCCACCGATAACTCTCCTCAGAACTTCCCCGCACCTCATTAGCAGCTTTGTTTTTTCCTCTCAGCGCTGTCGAGTATGATACTTTCATGCCAAGCCTGCCTTGAACCATATTGATCAGCGTTTTTGGATCTGGTGTATCGAATCGACCTGGATAGTCTTCAGCCAAAACAGTTGCAACTAAGTGTGGTGTGCCTTTCCTTTTTTTGTCTGATTGTACTTGTAGTAACCCGAGAGCATGTGTGCACCTTGTTGTAAGTGACAATAGTGAAACTATTTGAGTTCATACGCACAGAAGCTCTTAAACCCCACTTGCATCCCTCTTTTGCTCCCCAACATTTTACCACGAAACGTGTGGGATCAGACTTTTTCGTTTCTTACTCAAAACCATTCTCATGTGCACCTTTCTGCAGGAGAGCTTGCAGTCCCTGCCTAGTGTCAAATTCTTGACCTTTATATATATCTAAACCATCTTTCCATCCATGACTTACTTGCGAGTTTCCATCAGAATGTCTGACTTCTGTATCATCATCATACACGAGCTCATATCTTTGTAGAGGATCTGTATCATTTTCTTGCATCTCATTGTCTGGCATTTCATTGTCTTGCATTTCACTGTCCGGTATTTCTAAACCATCTCTAGCGGTAGAAAACATCTCATCATTACTTGGACCTACATCAACGTCAACTCCATGATCCTCTCTTGAAACATGCACGCTTCCATGACTTTGATCAACATCCTTGATGAACTCCACATGTAGAACACTTCTACATTGATCCTTACTCATTTGTAGTAGATAACCAAAAACATTTTCGTCATTCCAAATATATGATGGTTTCTTCGTGTTCAAGACCATTGGATAGTAACTAATTTTCAGCTGAGATGTAGCTGCATCTATCAAAACCTTTATGCCAATTCCCTCCACTAATCCAAGATAAGTGACATCCTCCAAAGATTTCCTCATCACTAAAGTGTGAAACTCATCTTCTACAGAATTCCAAATAACTTTATCACCATCTTTTGAATAGAACCCCCCATAATCAAAACATATGACTGTGCAACCACTGCTACTCATTTCCCCTGAAAAGAACAAAACAATCGTAAGGTAATCTTATCATAGTTGTACCAGTTTTACTAGTCGTACTTAAGATGTCCAGTTACGCTAGTTGTACCAGTAGTACCCAGAAAGTTTGGTTCATCCTAGTCGTACTAATTCACTTAATATGTCCAGTTGTGCTAGTTGTACCTAGTAGTACCTAGAAAGTTTGGTTAATCCTAGTCGTACTAAATTCACTTAATATGTCCAGTTATGCTAGTTGTATCCAAAAAGTTTGGTTGATCCTACTCGTACTAATATGTCCAGTTGTGCTAGTTGTACCCAGTAGTACCCAGAAAGTTTGGTTCATCATACGAATCATCACTAGTTTTTACGATTCATTGCTCAGTTAACCAAGATATCATATTTAATTAACAATATCAGTTTCTAATAGCCTTACCCAACTAGCTCAGCAGCTCCAATGAGCAAAAAAAAATCAAAATTTTCTTTACTATGAAATTCTCTAATTGAGAAGAAATTATGTATTATTTGCTCTGCCTATGACATAAACTTGATAATTCAATCAAGAAATCGAAAATAGTATAAGAAACAGCAACAACTAACCTTCAATTTCACGCCTCTGATTTTGTCAATGGTGGAAACATGAGAGGAAGAAGACGACGAGGGAACGACGAGAGGTGCAAAAATTTTGGTGGTTGGTTTGGTTGGTTTAGAAAATTAATTTTAGGTTGGTTTGAATTAAATTTCTTACCAAACCACCCGAAATTCTTTTTCATTTTTGTTTTGATTTTTTTTTGTTTATTCATTGAGGAGTAAACAGTCAATTCATTGCAGAGAGGGGCAGTAAGATTAGAGGGGGGCAATTAGATTTTCTTGGCTGTACGGAAGGGCATATGAGATTAAAGTCCCAATGTATCAGCCTAACCGATAAGGAAAATACTAAAAGTTAAAAGATCTTAAAAGAATCAAGCCCAAAGTCTGAAATCTGTTTTTGGAGTTTACAAGGCGTCCCCAGATCACCGATCGTTCTCCATCATTCTCCGTCAGGAGCCATAGTTGGAGAAGTTTTGATGAGAGTGATGGATTTCCTTTCTTGAAGCTCGCAATCCTGTTTTTGATTTGACGATTAATTAGGAGGAAGATGTTGTCAGAAGAGCAGAAGATCTGAGAGTGCAGACGGTCGTTCCTTTAAGACCATAGCGATGTTGTCGGAAGAGCGGAAGATCTGAGAATGCAGTCGGCCGTTCCTTTCAGACCATAGCCAGGAGACTGAAGCTTTCCAGCCAAGAAGAGTCAATCACTTTGCCAATTTTCCTCCTTGAAGGTTCTGCATCTGCTCAAGCGAGCCATGCCAATCTCGGACAGGTTGAAGATTGCAACGTCTAGCCACCTTCTCCCAAATCATCCAGCTGAAATCACAATCAAAGAAGAGGTGATCTCTGCTTTCACCATGTAAATTACAGAGCAGGCAAGTTGGATCTACTGCTAGTCCCCAACCAATAAGGCGATCCTTTGTTGGGCTGCGGTCTCTTACAAACAACCAAGCCAAGAAGTTATGCTTCGGAATGCCTCCAATGTTCCAAATCACCTTCTCCCAAGGTACATGGTCTATGTCCCCTCTTAGCTTCCCATAGACTTGTCCAGTACTATATCTGGGAATTACTTTTGCGTCAATCTCCCATTCATAGTAGTTTTCCTCCTCCGTTAAGGTTAAAGTGGACAGATAAGCTTGCAAGTTAACTTGTTGTTCTGATCGAGCAGGTGCCAATGCCCAAGAGCCCTGGCAGTGAAGGGAAGAGAGCAAGACAGAGCGAGATAAACCCATTCTGTGGAGCCGATAACCCTGAAGGTATCGTTCTAAGTTGCCAAACGGAGACCAGTTGTCTGACCAGAATCTACAATTCCGACCACTTGCAACTCTGAGTTTGATCCAAGGGTAAACATCATTTATCACTTTTAGAAGTTTATTAGCCAGCTACGACCAATCCTTGTGCGGTTTCACAATCCAGAAGTTGTTAAGGGAGCCCTTCAGCACCTCTTTTCTGTACCAAGCCACCCAAACTGAACCCGCTTGAAAGAAAAGCAACTAAATGAGCTTAAGACAGCATGCCTTATTCCAAGTTGTGAGGTCCCTAATTTCCAAACCTCCTTGACTCTTTGCTTTAGTTACGGTCTCCCAGGATACCCTATCCGAGTGATGACCCTCGATGTTTCCTTTCCATAGGAACATGCTACAAAGCGAGTTGATGCGGTTAATGCATGCCTTAGGGAGAATGAAAGAAGAACACCAGAAATTGGAGATTCCTGCAATCACTGTTTTGATGAGAAGTAACTTCCCGGCAAAGGAAAGAGACTTCACACTCCAAGAGGTAACCCGAGATTTGACTTGGTGAATTAACATCTCGCAATTACTAATGCTTAGTTTCTTGGTGCAGAGAGGGACTCCTAAGTAGCGCACTGGGAGGAAACCTTGAGGCATTCCAGAAGAGAAGGAGATGATATCAGTCTCGTACTGAGAGAGGCCAGTGCAAAGAAGTAGGACTTCTGAACACTAGCCGCAAGCCCCGACCTAAGCTCAAACTCATGAAGAACTTGTAGCACACTCTGGACCGAGTGAAGTGACCCATCCAAGAAGATCAGAAGATCATCAGCAAAGCAGAGATGGGTGAGCTTTGTGCCAGCACAATTCTGATGATATGTAAATCTTCCCTCTTCAGCCGCTTTATTAAACATCAGAGACAAGCAATTCATAGCTATAACAAAGAGATAAGGAGAAAGTGGATCTCTTTGCCTGAGTCCTCTTTTCCCTTTGAAGTAATCCTGAACTGTTCCATTATAACCTATAGTAAAATTTGTTGTGCAGATGCAAGCTTTGATCCAGCTCATATATTGGGGAGGCAGTAACAAGCTCTCAAGACAGGTGAGTAGAAAGTCCCAAGAGACGCTGTCAAACGCCTTTGCTATGTCTACTTTAATGGTAATTTTTTTATGTCTTGACCCTTTGTGATAACCGTTGACTAGCTCTCCAGCTAGAACTGTATTCTCAACTAGTAACCTGTCTTTTACAAACGCTGTTTGATTAGGGAGAATAAGAGCAGGAAGCAATGGTTTAAGACGAGATACCAGGAGCCTTGAGATGACCTTATACAAGGTGTTAAGGCATGATATAGGCCGATAGTCAGTAATCATTGAAGCTCCTGGACGCTTTGGCACTAAGGCAAGGATTGTTGAATTGGTGGAAGCTGGCAAGAAGGCTGAATGGAAAAAGTGAAAGATGGAAGAGACAACTTCTTCACCCACAATATCCCATCCTGCCTTATAAAACCCTGAGGAGAGACCATCTGGGCCAGGGGCCTTGTTAGGGTTCAGCTTGAAGAGAACTTTTGTAATCTCTGAAACCGAGGGAGCCATTGACATGGTTTGAATCTGGGCCGGGGAGCATCTAAACGGACAAAGTGACTGAAACCAATCAACCCAGGATGAAATGGCAAGAGGAGGAAGAACATCAGGTCCCAAGATGGACTTGAAGTGCTTGATTGCATGGAAGCACATCTCCAGAGGGTCTGTCAGCACGGAACCAGAGCTCAGGAGGAAGATTCTAATAGCTTTGAAGCTTGCACGAGTTTGACAAACCCGGTGGAAGTAAGTTGTGTTTAGATCTCCCTATTTCAGCCAGTTGATCCTTGATTTTTGCTTGAAGTAACACTCCTCAATATGCCTAAGGAAGTTCCACTCATCATGAAGATCACGTTCTTGCTGGAAAAGGGATGGGGACGGCGTCTGAAGGGCTTGTACCTGCACAGCTTGTAACAAACGGTCAGCCTCACTAACTCTCCTTTGTATTTGGGAAAAGTTCTCACGGTTTAATTCTTTCAGAGCTCTCTTTATGGTCTTTTGTTTCCAACACAGATAAGTGAGATTGGAACCAAAGCTTCCGGCCTGAACCCAAGTCTCAAGTAACACGCTATGAAAGTTCGGGTGTTTGGTCAGGTAGTTGAAAAACTTAAAAAGACGGGTTCCAGCAGAGGGTAACTGGTGGGACAGGTCAATGATGAAAGGACTATGGTCAGAGGTTAAGGGAGGTAGAAAAGAGGCCACACTATTTGGGAATAAGTTTATGATATGGCTGTTGACAAGAAGACGGTCGAGTTTTTTTGCAACAGGAGACGCAGGTTGACAGTTTGACCAAGTGAAGAGGGGACCTTGGAAGCTAAGATCAAACATTCCCAACTGAGAAAGACAGTCTTTAAAATCAGTCATGTTGGAGTTGAACGTGTTAACAGCCGGGTTTGAGTGCTTGACATGATGAACGATTTGATTGAACTCACCTCCTATCATCCACAGGCTATTATAAAGCGAGTGAGACTGCTGGAGACTGAGGAGTTCCACCCAAAGGTCAGTTCGCTCAAAACTTAGATTAGACACATACACAGAGGTGTAGATGAACTGGGTGGCATTTAATAAGCTGACTTTACAAGTAATGGACTTTCTTGATTGGTGCAGGATATTAACTGTAGCTGGGGCTCTCCAGATGAGAATAATTCTGCCATCATCATCAGACCGGTGATTGGAGGAGAAGTTCCAACCAGGACAAAGGTTAGACATGAGCTGGTTTAGATTAAGATCTTTTATATGACTCGATAATAGAAACAAAAATAGGCTGATGAATATTAAGCCAATTGCTAAAGGGCCGATGCTTGCTCGGATCATTTAGACCACGAACATTCCAAAAAAATAGTTTTGTACACATTAAGGGGAAGGGAGAGACTTCCCTGAGGAGGGAGAGTCAAGAGGAACAAAAGGAGGGAGAAAAGAGGGGTCTTTAGTGGGGTCAGGAGGGTCGATAAACATAGAGTCAGTGGTTTTACTAAGGTTTTGAAGCAAAGGGTTCGATCAAGATCGTTTTAAAGAAGATGGTTTTTTTGTTTCAGGGGGACTATATGGGTAAGTCTCTCCGGAAGGAGTAATAAAGACAGGGAGACCTAATATGTAAGAGGAGAGAAGAGGAGCACGAGGTGGTAAAGAGGACGAGCGGGGTAAAGAGATAGAAGACAAGGGCTTTTTGGGGGTACAAGAAGGATCTCCAGAGGAGCTAAAAGTGATATGGGCACTCGAATTTGGAACAGACAAAACATCCGAAGAAGACGGAGCCGCAACAGAACCAGAGTCCAACAGGGGAGCCTCAGCTGAGAAAGCCATCATTGCAATATCCGTTGTAGCGGATGAAGCTGCGTTGAAGGTACCCTTAGCTTCTTTCTGATACTGAGTTTTACTAATGGACCTTTTAAGAGCTTTGCTTCCAGTAGCATTCGATGTTATTGGATCCTTAATCACACGACTCATTGGGGTAGACGTAGACACCTTCTGAATAGGAGTTTTAGGTGTAGCCTTCTGAGGAGGAGGTAGCAGTAGACAGTTGTGCATAACATGTTCTAATTCTTTGCAGTGGGAGCAAGTGGGGGGGGGGGGGGGGGGTGATCAAGGATAGTCCACATGAACTTCTGCAAATTCGCCATTCTGCCTAACGAATTCCACAACTCTAGGAAGCTCTTTGGTTAGGTTTACTTCCACTTTTACATGAGACAGAGTGAGACTTATAAGATTCTTAGTAAAGTCATTCATTTCTACTGGTTCACCAACTAACCCCGCCACAAGACTGAGACCCTTTTAATGATGCAGGTATAGGGGAACACCCGTAAGATGAGCCCAGATTTTGATTGACTTAAGAGAAGGAGCCAAATATGAAAGAGACGAAGTCCACTGAGCCACATGGAACATTGAGTCACCAATATACCAAAGGCTTTTTTCCAGAATCTTGATCCTCAGGTATTCACTCGGAATTCTTACAAGTATTGACCTATTTAAAGGGTTGTTGTGGATCTCCTGTTTATTTCCTTTATCCCACATGTGGTTGAGGACACTTTGAATTTGACTGTAGGAGGGAGCTCTACCATTAAAATAGCACACTAGAAAGTCTTTATGCAGTTCTTCTCCACGCTGGAATACCTCGTCTAGGATGAGAACACTAGGTCTACCAGTGGCCGAGTAAGTAATTGGAGCCAGCCGTTGCAAAGATTTATCCTCAAAGGCCCTTATTCTCTCAGCCAGAGAGGGAGCATTAGCAGTTTGGTTGACAGTAGGATTATCAGTAGCTGTAGCTTGCTGAATCGGAGGTGAAGGATTATGTTTCGGAGGTAAGTTAGTAGCTGTAGCTGGGAAAGAGGCAGGGGTATTAAGAGCTTTATTGGTCTATATAGGAGAAGTAGATCACGGTTTCAGAATAGTAAACTTTTCTGTAGCCGTAGTTTCAGATCTAGTTTTTGAAGAACTATATTTTTTAACCTCTAGAGAGGCAGTTTCCAACTGAGCCATCTCGACATCAGTAGTTTCAGTAGAGGAGTTCTGAGCAACCGCCAAATCCACGGGCACCCTTCTGGGAGCAGTTTGTGGGGATGGAGGAGTTTTCCGGTAACTGGTGAGGAGAGAGGAGGAAAGTGGAAAATGGCTAAAGGAGCTAAAGGATCAGGAAGGTCAGGGGGCACAAGAGGAGGGTCTAGGGAACTATCACCAGTGGTGAGAGACGGAAGGTTCAGGGCGGAAGCACGACCATCAGAGAACCAACGATTCTGCATTGGGAACCGGGCCTGAGAGAAAACTAAAAAAAAAGAGGCTCAATACATACAATTCGGTTTTGGGAGAAAAACAATGCTGAACTTAGAATTATGATCACAGAAATAATAAAGATGTTCAAGTACTTACATAATCAGTTATGTTATTTGCTTACGTTAGCAAGAGCTTTCTATTTATTATAACATTATGATTTTTCTATTTCTTGATTTTTCTAATTAAGAATAATGATAGATTAAAGTGTTTCACGGTTTTCTTTCAATGTTTTGTCATTTCTTTCTTCTTTTTAAGTCTCATGATTCTGATTGATTTGAGGCTGGCACAAAATTAGCTAATTAACACGAATATATGAATTAAGGGCGTTTCATAACAATGTGTTTAGTGTTGAAATTTGATCCATTGCTTAAGCCCACCTATTGGGTCATTAATTCCAATTAAGTGAAACTATGATGGGTTGTGTTTGAGTGTTTTCACTTATGGACATTTCTCTGACTTCCATTTACAAAGTAGATATATTTTGCGAGTGGATACATTTTGCGAGATGGGCACTTTTTGTATGTTGAAAGATGTTATTATTCTTGTTTTATTGTTTCACAGAATACAGAATACAGATATTTACGGGATAGGATTGATAAAAATTTATTTATTGGTGTCGATTTAGACAGAGGAGAGTTATCATCGCCGTCGGTTTTGAGAAAACCTTAAATCTATGTCATTGGAGAACGAGAAATCGTGTTTAACCTGTGAAACGAGGAAGTCGGCACACCGGGAAGTGTTGAATGTTCGTGATGGAAGGTAAATTGGCCAGATTTGGTTTTGGTTGTTTCTATTGATTACTTTCTATTTTCTGGTGATGCTTTGTACGGTGGTCGCTGTTTTCAGCGAACTAATTAGGTGTTCAAATTTGTTTGCAGGCGAAGATTTATCGGAGAAATGGGATAGAAAAGTTCTGACGAGATTGTTTGCGACGGACCGGTTCCCGGAAGCGCGAGTTAATGTTTACTCGAAGCTGGACATTCTAACGATGATACACAATACTTTACGAGGTAGTCCAGAGTGTGACGTTCTGCGGTCCTCTTGCTTTGGCAGGCTTTTCGACATACCCGTCCATAGGACACCAGTGTCTGGAAAGCTCATCCACGCACTGTTGTCCAGGCAGCTTCTCACTAATAAGAAGTATGAGTTATGGATTGTGTTCGGTGGACAGCCTTTCCGTTTCTCCCTTCCCGAATTCGGAGCAATGACGGGATTGGGTTGTGGAGAGTTTCCGGAGGGATATCATCCATAATTTCCTCTGTTCGACAAAAATGGGTTCCTAATCGGGCATGGAGAAATGTTATATCAGACGTCAACAGTACAACGATAGCTGCTTTTGTGATTATGTTGAGGATGAGGTGGATATGGAACCTAGAAGAAGGTCACAACTTGCCATCATCTGCATTTTAGATGGCGTTCTTGTCGCTAACACGAAGGCACATCGTCCCAGTCCGCGATATGTACAAATGGTAGATGATGTTGAACATATGTTCGACTTTCTGTGGGGGTGGGAGTCATTCTACCGCGCTATAGGGACTATGATGCCTGAAGTGACGACTCGTGACAAACGTGATAGGGCAATGCAGACGTTAAGACAGCAACAAAGCTCAGAGTCAATGCGTGTGTGTGGATTTGCACTAGCGCTTCAGCTTCTAGCGTTTTGACTCGTGCTTGGGCTGCGGGAGAAGCTGAAAAATCCCGACGAGTTCCCGATGTTGCTTGATCATCCAGATGACATAATTCCGAGACATTGGTCTTTGAGTTTAGAGGCAGTGCAATCAGCGGAGGCGGAGACTAGCGTAAGTTGTTGAGGCCTGTAATATACTATTATCGTCTACTTTAGTTTATGATGATTTTGACTGACTAGTTCAACATGTATCATTTTCAGTTACAAGTATGTCCACTACTTGACGTAAACTCACAATTATTTGAGGAGGATGGTTGGGGTAAATGGGATGACGAATGCAAGGATAGCCTGGTGAAATACCTGATGGAGAAGATAAAAAAGCAGAAATATTTTCAGTAAACTTGAATGGCCTGGAGGGGACACATGTCTTCTATTGAAGGAAGTTAAGCTTGTACCTCGAAAACTGGAGCATGCCAGACACGTATTGGACCGTAATAAGAGGGGTGCAAAGAAGTTGCAGGCCTCTCCGACGAAGAATAAGAAAAATTCTAGTAGGAAAAAGAAGAAGTCGCTTGAGATGTAACAACTGCTGAACCGACAGAGCGCGAGGTTTTAAAGCAATGGTCGTTGAGCCAGATCGAAGGTATTTCAGAGCAGGTGAAGGTGATTGCTGCTAGGCAAACTGAGCTTGAGAACCGAGTAATTGGTGGTGGCCAATTGGGTAGTGAAAGACGACATGGCATTAGTCCAGTGAGACGTTGCTCACGTTTAGGAAGTCGTGCTGCCACTGGAAGAAGTTGTCAATCCCCATCTGAGGGCCATGTTAGTGGTGTAGTAGGCGATGAAGTGTTTAGCCCTTCCTGGACGCAGAAGAAGGGAAGTAGCGTGTAATCTGGTGGATGTGGTGTGCCTGCTAAGGTAGGAGATATGTTTTGTTTGCCTTAAATAGAGTAAAAACTATTTACTAACCTCGCAATTAATTGACAGGCTGTAGCGGATGGACAATTAACAGTGGACGGAGGTGTTTCTGTCACTAGCGAGGTAATAGTTGTCTCTGAAAGTGTGATATGCAACATTGCTTCAACAACTGCACATGGTGGTCTTATTTGGATATAAGCTGAATCTATTGGTGCAGTTTTTAGTCATCTTAGTTAAATCTGATGAGTTTGATATGATCACAGCTGTAAATACTACAGGGCGGATGTGTTGTGAAGGCGGATGATATAGTGCATGAAGTAATGAACGATATCCACAACCTGGTTGAGGGTGGCCCTAGCGATGGGGAGGGCATGGAGAGATTTGAGAACTCTAAGGAGAAATCATTTGTAAGCGTTTGAGTGACCTGTGGCAGAGGAATTTTATGGCTGTTAGGTGACGAGTACTGATAGTATTTTTTTCATACCAGGGTGTGGATGTACTCGACATACCTGTTGAAGAGCAGAATCAGATGACAGCGGAGGAGCCTAACGTGATAGAAGGGGAGTTGGTATTTAATAAGATAATATACATCTCTAGTAAATACAGTTTTACATGGCCGTATCCAATTTATGATGAACTGGTGGCATTTTCTGTGATCAGGATAATATAACGATGTCCAGTCTAAAATGGATGATCATTCAATCCCTGGGGGTGCGATAGAAGAGTTGGTCGCTGGAGAAGGAGCAACGCCCAGTGCGGAGGTATAAATGTAATTTAAATGTTCTAAAACTGTAGTGATTGATGTTGAGTGATTGATGGCTGTTGTTGGTTAATTGATGACTGTTGGTTTCTATGATGTTTACAGGTTGGTGGGAATATTGTTGACGACCAATGCAAGCAGCGTGGGAGTGATGTAGGTGAGGACGTCGGTGTAGATATGAGTGCGGATGGACACAATCTGGTGGACAATGTTTTGGATCAGGACGTGGTTCTGGATTCGAGGCCGGATGGACATGATGAGATGGACACTAGAGAGGTAAAATGGCTTAGTGTGAGAAACACCATTGTGGGAACAAATTTTGTTAATTTTTTTAGGTTAACTTCAAGTGTTTTAAAACTCTTGTTCGATTGTTGTTGAGTGAGTGATGACTATTGATGTCCGTTATGACGGCAGGTTGGTGGACATATTGCTGAAGACTAATGCAAGCACCATGGGAGATATTTGGGGGAGGACGTCGTTCAGGATTTGAGGCCGGATGGACACGATGAGATGGACAGCGCTAAGGTAAAAGTGATTACTGTGAGAACCGCCAATTTGGGAACATATGTAGGTGGTTTATTTTGGTTACCATCTTCAAGATTGCCGCCGTTGTTGTATGGTTGCAGGTAGGAGACAAGTCTGACCCGTTGAGCGAGGATAAGGGAGAATATGTTTGTGGGGAGCGAACAGTATAATATAGTTGTGGTAGTAAAAGAGGGAGTATTTTGTAATAGTTGTCTGACATGCCAGCCCAATTGTACTAGGTGGAGAAGGTGGAGACGATGGGGGGTCATGAGCAGAACGAAGCCACCTCCGCTGAAGTGGGTGTAGTAAGTTTGTTGTTTGTGTGGGACGGTAGTATTGTGTGTGGCTGATGTGGTGTGTTTGTCATGGCAGGTTTTAAAAGAGAGGCACGATGCTGTTAAAGGGGAACCAAATAAGCGGGAGAATAAGAAGCATAAAGAGGCGATGACGGCGGATCCCCACGATGTGACCGATTCCTCTCTCCCACTGCCATTTGTTAGGCATGTTCCTTCTGAGCTTGAAGTACAACTGGCTAGTGCGTTGAAGCAGAAGAAGAGGCAGCCATTTGATACTCCAAATCGCGAGCTGGATGCAGACGTTTATAAGTTGTTTGAACAGACACTTATATCGGCCGGTGCCGTGTAAGTGAAGTGTTATGTCTACGAGTACAATAGTTATTGGTTGTACAAAACTATTTCCCTGATTTTGGTGAAGTATTATATTTATGTACTATTAATTTCCCTGAATTTAGTGCAGGAGACACATCACGAAGCTTGGGTATGCGTTTAACAACAATTTTCTGATTGATCTAGCGACCTCGAAGGAATGGGTGTCCACCTTGGTATTGTCCGCTTAAGTTTAATGTATAATATGGACAACTATATAGAGACAGTGTTGAGTAGTTTTGGTTTGTTACAGCATATGGAGGTCCTAATGGGGGTGGCTGTCGTCGAAAAGGTTGGAGATGAACCTGTTGCTTTCTGCTCACCAAACTTGATAAGAGCTTTGTTGAAGAAGGAACGCCAGTTCAAAGCTTCGAAGGACAAAGATTTGCTGAGATGGTGTGATCTGAGCCCTTACGTGAATGTTCCTGGTAAAAGGTGGAAAGCGCAATAGGTCCCACACATCGAGTTATTTTTGTCGACTATGCC